CCGTTTTTGACCCCTAGTCGGGTGAGAAGGATGGACGAGAAGAAGACGAGCAAGGAACAAGTGGGAAAGTTTACCTTTCTCACCCTCCTCTCTAAGCAGGGAGGGAGGGATGGACAGAGGAGGAGGATATTGAAATGACAGAAGAGACGGCGGAACAATGAGAGCATGAAGAGGAGCGAGGATGGACAGAGGAGAGAGAGGACAAGGACACAACAGATGACAGAAGGGATCAGAAAATGAATAGAGGAGATAAAAGGAGTGAGCAAATATTATGAGACTACCTACTGTCCACACACCCCCCCCACACACACACAGACACACACACACACACACACACGTCCAGCTGTGGCCAGTCTGTGTTTCCCTCCAGTAAACATCATATCCAGCCTCCTGATGTCCTGGCAACAGATATCTTAACAACCTGATGGGAAAGCATTTTTAATATAGTGTGTGTGTGTGTGTGTGTGTGTGTGTGTGTGAGAGACGGAGAACGACCTGCCCTTATGCATGTGTGTTGTGAATGTGGATGCATGTGAAGTATTTATGTGAGTATAAATTAAACGCATACATTTCTATGTTTGCATAGATTTGAATAATATGTTATATTTGTTCCTTATTGATTATTCATTAATAATTAGGTTAATACATTACATGCCATGTACAGTATGTTAAAGCTGCATCTCCCTCTTATTAACTTTATTGTGGTCTTGTTAGAGCCAATTAGGTGAGATGGCAGCACTTCACAAGTTGATGCAAAATGACGTGCTTTATACAGTCTATGACGCCTCAGCGTTTAAAACCTAAAGGAGACTATCTGGACACCAAGAAAGTTTAAAAAAGCTTTAGCGAATCCACCGCACCCAAGTCCAAACAACCAATCGGAGAAAGGAAGAATCGCTAATGCGGTGTCAGTCACTGCTCGTGCACACATTGCGCAGCACCCCTCACTCAGTCAAGCTCAATATCTTCAGCCTGCGGCTTCAGATTTTTTTTACATCACAATGGTTGAGAAACAACCAGCAGCAATTGAAGAACTGCCTCATCCGAAGGGAGTTTCGGGCTCATTATGTTTGATGTCATGCCGCTTGTATCGACGAGTGGCAAGGAGGCATGATGACAAACAGTGGGGAATAACTTTTGAGGGGGGACAGCGGTGTACTAGCCTCACATCCTGCTGTTAGACGCTATCGCAGCTGCCTCTGAAGTCTGTGGTGCTCTGCCCTAGGAAGCATTGGAGGGGCTACTTTGAGCAGAGTAGTTGAAGTTAGAGGGGCCAGCGTCTTGCCGAGGAGTTCTGTGGAGAGCAAGCCCTATGCAGGATGAGGTTGCCAGGGCTCCCTCTTGTGGGTTTGATGGGGAGAGAGAAACACAAAATGTTTTGCATTGTATGCTTTAATATAGGAATGGACACAGGTTTAGCTCACAGTTTAAGCTCTGCTTCGTCTTTTCTGTGCTACGCCCCATTATCCTGATATTGTCAGCTGACCGTATGATTTTCCAAAGAATCAGCACTTATGACTTCCTTTACAAGCATAAGCAGAAATACAAGAATACACTTCATGAAATCAAATCAGAGAAAGAAGGAAAAAGGGAATAAGGCACAACATGTAATAAGAAAGGCAGTTAATTTGATGTGATGCTGTTGTTTAGACGTGGTCACAACAGACTGCTTTTATTTTTCAAGTTTTGTTTTTGTGTGAGCATTTATCATGTCGTCCACTAGTCTTTGATTTTGTTTAGATAAATCAATCTTGCCCAGTGTGTTCCCCGCTCTGCCACAAACACAGATTTATTCTCCCTGCTGTCGGGTAGGATATCCTACAGTTGTGTTTTTAAAAGATGAAATAACTTCACAGAGCAATGTCAGTCTTCATTATGTTGTCACCGCTTAATTGTTTCCTCCCCTAACCAGTTTCCCAAGGGGAAAACCACTTGTATTTACATCAACTTTCTGAGACTTGCTTTCTGAAACTTGCTTGAGATGGGTATCAATCACAGTTAACATCACATCTTATTTAACTTTTTTCAAAGCTACTGTATGTTCTTGTTGCATTAAATTGCTGGTTCAGATTCAAACTAGAAGCATATTTTTTCAAACCCTTCCAGCCGTGTTTCCTGAGAAGACCAAACTTTGAAACCACATACTGTTGTATTGGCAGTAGTGTTTGTTGGCTGAGCTCTGTTTTGTTTCTTCTTTTACTGCAGATAAATAAATATATTTTTGACAGACAGAACTAAAATCCTTTAACAACACTGGTTTACTGCCGCTTTTATCCATGGATATAAAGCTTACTTGGAGTAAACAGAGAGGGACAGACAGACAAGAATAAGGATTTAGCTTGGTTCACTGGCCTTGAGCCCTCTTTGAAATGAAGCTGAAAAACTGTATGTACAACAGGACTCTTTTCTTCTCTGTCTCTTTCTATCAAGCCTCCATTTCTCTCTCTCTCTCTGTCTCCCTGTCACCATTACAATCGCTTTCTTGCTTCAACTCTTCTCATAATCTGGTTGATGCCTTATTCCTTCTCTCTCTCTCTTTCACTTATACTGTGTTACATTTTCTTCTTCCCACCCATTTATATTTATCTTTATTTGCTAGTTTTCCTTTCCATCTTTCAGCTCTACTCATCTCTAAATCCGTCCACTTTCACTGCTCTCGTCAGTTCGAGTGACAGGCTTAACCAAAGAAGCACAGGCATCCCTATCCTGCAGCGCCTTCTCTGGTATCCCAGGGTGTTTCCAGGCCATTTTGGACATATAATCACTGTGTTCTGGATCTGCTCTGGGGTCTCCCACTTGGTCAGAAAATGCCTCCACTAGGAAGGGTCTTGATCAGATGCTTAACCACCACAACTCTCTCTTCTGTCTTTTTCAAAGTTATACCTGCATCACCCTCGTTGAACTCCTTTTGTCTGTTCTGTCACTCTGTATATTCCTCATCGCCTCCTTCACTGGTTGTTTTATGTCTCAGACACTGCTGAGCTTTATGCTTCAACAACACAGTGATACCTCTGCTTTTATCACAGATGTCAGACAGTGTCAAGTTTAGCTGTTGTGGACCCCGCCTTTCGTCCGATGTCAGCTGGGATTGGCTCCAGCCCCCCCGCGACCCTGTATGCAGGATAAGCGGTTGACGATGGATGGATGGATGGATAGTCTTGTTTTATCGATCTGATGTATTTTATTTCAAGCTGTCTTGCTGCTTTTAACCGCTGGCCTCTCCATCATACTTCCTCTGGTTTGGCCACAGAGAGGAGATCTCTGTTTTACTACTGAACCTCTGACAGAAACAGAGCTGTAACTGAGTAAACTGAGTGCAAAGATTGATCGGAAACAGATTGGCTGCAGAGACGTTCCTGCTGTCTGTAGCTGTTAGTGATGCCTTTAAAGACAGGGATACTCAATACAAACATTGTATTGTTTTAGATACCTCATAATTAATTAATTATGTTGCGCAACTCTTCTCCGGTTTGTTATGCTTTATTCCCCAAAGTAGCTTCTGTATAACCCTAAACTTCAGCATGTTGTATAAGGGTCACCAGCTTTTACTTTTAGATCTTTACCACAAGTGGGACAAATAAAGTAATGTTTGTCCTAAAGGTGGCGCCAGAAGAAAGGTCATCAACTTCCATAAATCAAAGACTTTATCTGCTGCACGGTGGCCATTTGAGGATATCTCAGACTCAGCTTTGTTAGGCTCAGTACTATATTGTCTGTTTTGACTTGACTCTGCTTTTAACAGCCAATAGCTGGCTCAGCTGTGCTTTAAGCTGAATGTTAACCGTACCAAGCTAACAGACCCTGTCCCTTCTGTTAGTATGTTTATATCACTGTTAACAACTGTTAGCATATTAGCACTACCTTCCGGTCAAACATGACATTTTAGTCTGGTAAGGCTCTAAAAATATCAAAATGATTGGTGTTTAGCCCAACTGTATTGTGGAGTGTAGCGTAGTATGGTGTTAATAGCAGTTACACAAGTTACTTTACTGGTTTGCTAGTTTCTTGACTGTCATTTTTAAGAAAAAAACTAAAAGTTTAGATTCAGTGTTACATTCTGTTGTGTGAGTATAATCTGCTTTCACAGAGAAGTCTCAGTATGTGGGTGTTTCCTCTGCTCTCAGGCTCTCTGTTTTGACCCTGACATTAGTGTGTCTGAGGTCCTCCAGGGCAGGCCAGAGATGAACTGTACGTCCTCCTCTGTGGTCAATTTCATCCCTCTAGTTCTGCTTTTATCAGTTGGGTTCTGTTGTTGTTATTGTTGCTGTCTATTCCTCTCATCATTCTTTATGTCAGTGGTGAAGTCGGCTTGTTGTACCACATTGTGACCCTCTCTGGTCTCTGAGCAATCTGGTTGCTGCATGCCCTCCATATCCCCCCGGGCTGGAGGGAAGAACTACATTAAGATAAAGAGGAACTGGTGTTTAGATTGGTATGAAACTAGCTGGTAATGGTGCGGATCAGCCTGAAAGTTACTAGACTGATAGTGGGTGAAGGCTGCAAGATAACCCAGTGTCTACCAGCATAGAGCCCTGAAACATTTCTGGATATTAAGATTTAAAACTTTACAATGCTGTAAATTCATATAGTTTAAAATTGTTTTGTCTAAAGTTTCCTTTTTTATTTTTTTATTTTTAAATGTTTATTTCCTTCTCCTATAAATATATCTGAATCCCTTTAACAGATTGAGATGAAGACACGGAGACTTTCTTATTGTCAGTGTGCTTTAATAGCGTTAGCAATACAACAACATAATATTGCCAAAGCATCATTAAATAATCTGATTACAGAAATAAAAAATATCTTTCCCAAAGCTTGGCATTTGGGTATAAGCTCTCTCTTCAAAAATTTGAAATTCAGACAAAATAGACTGATCGGACACGTGCTGCCAGGTTTTTCAAGGATTGCTGTGTGTTAACCAAATTTTTAAAACTCAATCAACTCTGAGTAAAATTGGTATCTCTCCACAGCAAGTTTCTCTCTGTTTCCTTGTTTTTCAGGGACCTAAGTGAAAATTTCATCCAGGCCATCCCAAGGAGGGCCTTCAGAGGAGCCACGGACCTCAAAAACCTGTGTGTGAACGTATACACAAAGACACACACACACACACAACAGTTAAACTGATAAAATAAAAAACCTTTGTATCTATCTTCCACCAGTTTGCACTCATAGACTCACATAAGATACTGCTGTATGCTTGAACCTGTGTGAAAGGTGTTGTGTTCTTTTCATTATCAGTCAGCTGGATAAAAACCACATCAGCTGCATAGAGGAGGGGGCGTTTAGAGCTCTGCGGTCCCTGGAAGTACTGTGAGTATTCTGAATGATCACATAAAACCTGAAGTATTTCAGATACTATTTATTCCTATCTGCTCGTTCTTATTCTCACTCTCTCCTCCCCTGTCTCCCATCTTGTCATTGTGTCTCACTCTTTTTATTTCACCTCACTTGTTCTTCTCCCAATCTTCTCCTCCCTCACTCTTTCTTTCTCCACTTATGTTTTTTTTCTTGCTCCCTCTGTTGTTTTTATTCCTGTCTGCCTCCCTTTTATTGTGTCTTTCTTTTTCCTCCCTCTCTGCCTCCCTTTATCTCTATTTCACATCCTTCTCTCCCAGCACAATGAACAACAACAACATCAGTAGTATTCCAGTCTCCAGTTTCAACCACATGCCGAAGCTTCGCACCTTGTAAGTTCCTTACGTTCTTTCACTAAATTACCCAGAATGCCACAGTGTTTGTATCTTGTATTTAATTTTTTCTTTTCTTATACCGATAATTCTTCTCTACTTATTTCCTCCTTTCTTTTTTCTATTTTCTTCCTCTATTCTTGTTAATTTTTATACCTTCTTCCCCTTCTATTGCTCCTCACTTCTTCTTTTCCTTTTCCCACCTTGCACTTCCTCCCCTGATCTCCTCTCTCCGTCGCTTCCTCTTCCTCCTCCTCCCTTCTCTCCCAGTCGTCTCCACTCTAACTCTCTGCGTTGTGACTGTCACCTGGCCTGGTTGTCTCCATGGCTGCGGCAGAGGGCGGCTTTAGGCCTCTACACTCAGTGCAGCTCTCCTCCCACGCTGAGGGGCCTCAACCTTGCAGAGCTGCGCAAGAGCGACTTTGCCTGCCCAGGTACAGCAGCCCAGTGACACAACACACTGAGGTCCAACTGTGGATGATGGAGTTGACGTTGGAACATTTTTTTATTGTTTGTTTGTAGGCAACGGTGGCAGTGCCTTCGTCCAGCCGTGTAGCCTGGCATCCGGCTCCTGTCCTCCTATGTGTTCCTGCAGCAACAACATCGTGGACTGTAGAGGGAGGGGCCTAACTGCCATCCCTGCCCACCTCCCTGAGGCCATGACTGAGATGTGGGTATCCCAGAAGAAAACACTTTTACATTTACATTTCAACTGAAACAACTTGCCAGTAAAAAAATGACTGGGGGATTATGCTGGGATATACAGAAATCACTTATTCATCACTGTTGTTTTTTTTATGTTTAGTGCATATATATATATATATATATAATAGTAATAACAACCAAGAGTAAAATTAAATCTCATATTGTCATTTCGTTGTTCAATATTGTAATATTACTATTGTTATTTCTGTCTACTCTGCACACACGGCATCTGTTGCTTTTCTGTCGATCCTGGGAGGGAATCCCTCCTCTTTTTTCAAGTTTTCTTCCTTTATTCTCAGTTAAAGCGTTTTTTATGCTGTACAGGTTGCATTGAGATGTTGTGTTATCCATGCTATAGGTTTGACTTGACTATTTTGTATTCAGATGAAGCAAATATAAAGATTTATAGAAGACGAGTAAGTCAGAAACTGAGTCGGCAATGTTTACTATACATGAATATCTATATAATGTTTGCTAACTTTAGCTAGCCATAAGCTACTAGCCATACTAAACCTACCACGCAGCAAAACCTTTATTGAATTGAGAAACAGTTGGTTTACATGAATATAGTTTTTTTGTAAGAGGATTAATGTCTTCCTTGAAAAGTTATTTACGCATACTTTAAATGAAAGTCCCAACATATTAATAGTAACAGAAATGTAACTTAAATTATATGAACGTTTTAAATTAAATTTATTTAGCACCATTCTAGAGGGCGGCTGTGGCTCAGGAGGTAGTACAGGTTGCCCGTTAATCGGAAGGTCAGCGGTTCAATTCCCTGGATCCCCCAGGCTACTTGTCAAAGTGTCCTTGGACAAGATACTGAACCCCAAATTGCCCCTGGCGGCTGTTCTGCCAGTGTATAAATGTGAGTGAATGGTGAATGCAGATGTAGTAGAAAGGCGCTATACAAATACGGAGCATTTACATTTAGAGTACATAATACAATCCATTAGATACCCTTATATCCTGGAAATTAATTTTAAAAAACCCATAAAATGATGTTTTGCCCATATGGCACACCATGTTGTCATGTATTTTTTCATCTCATGTTTTCCCACTTTGAGACTTCTGAATTATTGTCCATCACTAGTTATAATATAATGGAATAAGAGCAGTGCAAAGTGCAGTGCTGCCTACAGTGTGTAAGTGTAATGGTACCTCACATGTCTTCTACATGCTTTTCTCTTAATTCACTGAAACCTGCTTTGATTAAACACACACTGGGTTTTGGGATCCTAATCTACACACACAATATAAATCCTGCTGCACACACTGCATTTTATTAAAGCAGGTGGTAAGATGGACAAGTCTGATAACATGATCTTTATGTTTCAGCCAATATTTAAACATTCTATGATTCAATGTTAAAGGTTTGACATGCTTGTCCCCACTGCATCTTGGAGATATGAACTCATATCTGCTGGCATAAAAAATAAATCATTGTGAGGGCTGAGTGGTACCAGCAGACTTGCACAAGACAAACCAAAACACACAGTAGATGGGATGTTGTATCTTGACTGAAGCTGCATGTATAGACTGCTATTTAGTTGGCTGTTATATGAAAACATTGAAAAACATTGAAAAATTAGCTGTGGCTCAGCCAGTTTCCACTAAAGCATTTGACACATTAAAAAAAAAAAAATTGGTATAAAATTAGCAATACTGCCAATGAGCAGTATGGTTAAAATATTATAAAATAAAATATTAAAAGTGATTTTAAATCAATATTAGGCTAGTGCCATCTCAAAAGGTGATATGAACATGAAGAATCAAAAAATCTAGGATGAAATGTCACAAAGGAAAAGCATCACTCATTTTCTTCACAATTAAAACTTTTATATCTTACATTTACTGTAAGATATTAAGCATTTTTGTTTCAGTTTCACAAAATAAGAACTTTGTATTTACAGTCTATAGACACATAAGAAGAATTAACGAACAGTGAACTAACACAAGAACTTAGACACAAGGAACATGGAACAGTCACAAAATCATGAGTCCATTTGACTTGATTTGTTATTGCTAGAGAGTCTTAGGGGCGGTGATGGCAGAGTGCACAAAGCTATTACTGTTGCGTGCTTTTTTACAGATCAGATATCTGATATGATGGAATCATATCATCTATAATAGTTGACAGTGGAACAGAGCTTTGAATTAATGTTGTATGTGGACAAATGTTTGAGTAGTGTGAATGGAAACTACAGACAGGCCCATTTATGGAAGTAACATCCTACAGGAGGCAAATTATTAATGTATTTTCTCTCTCTCACTCTGTGTGTTTCTCTCTCTGTCTCTCTCTCTCCAGTCGTTTGGAGCAGAATGGCATCAAGTCGGTTCCTCCAGGCGCCTTCACCTCCTACAAGAAGCTTCGTCGAATGTGAGTCCTCCAAAGACACATTTTAGGACTACAGTTTCATAAACAACAGTGTAGGTTCAAGAAACATTTTGGATAAATGTCACTTGTTTTCCCATCTTTGGCCTTTTAATGTAGGACAGCAGTGACAGAAGCTTTAGCTAAGTTAAGTAAACTGGGAGGAGATCCAGACTCAGAATAAACAGGAAGGTATACGTACCATCTGTCCTGGTAATGCCCCGGGAGAAGGAGCTGGGGAGAAGGATGTGTGGGCTACATTGCATAGACTTCTACCACCAGAAATAGGCTGAAAATGTATGGATCTTTGGTAGACTTAATTAGTCTTGTTCCAACGTCTTAAAATTGGTTTCCACTGACAGTTTTGTGATAATGCAAATCCAGATAGTGAGAACTTGCATTTTAATAGAAGCTTTAAGGTTTAATCAATCAATCGACTAATTGTTCGCATAATGTAACCTGAATTAGTGTACTTCATTTACATACTATAATTGAGAAAAATGTTAAAAATCTCCACCTTAAATGTTGACGACCACTTCTTAAAAAGAAAACAGATTTATGCTTGTGAATACTCTTAAATTTAGATTTAATCTTTGAAATTAAGATATCTTTATTAAGTATTTTTTGTTGTAACTTTGACTTGTTTTTCATCCATGAAGTTAAACATCATCACTTAAATGTTTCCTTTAGCTTTTATGATGTACAGTATAATTATGATCGTCATGAGATCAAGTGATTAAATACACATTTTCTTCATAGGAAGTAGTTTAAAGTCAGTTAAGCTAACACCATCCACAGAAGCTGTGTTTTTATGGCTCCACCCCAGAAGTTTCATCTCAACCAATGAGATTAGAGAATGTCTACCTCTAGAAGGGTACTTACCTCTGGGAAAATGTTCATGTTTTAAACTCTGATCTGCCAACCGGATTGCTCCCTTTTTCCTCTGTCTCCACCGTTCACCAAGCTGTGGTTTTCCTGCTCTAAATAACAATCAGCCTCAGTGGATTTTTAGCACGGAGGAGCGCTTGATTCATGTCAGACTGCAAGGAGATTTAGTCGCCATCAGAGGCCTTTTAACGGTCTTGTATGATGAATCAAGCGCATATCACTGTGATGTGGTGAAAATGTTTTTTAAAAATGCACACTTGACCACACTATGTTTGTAGCTTTGTACCCATTTTTTTCATTTGTTGAGGCATTTGTTCTGTCCACTCTCAGCGCTTCTATCTTTCTCTTTTCCTTCGCCCATTTCATTCCCCAGGCATTCTCTCTCTCCATCTTTGTCTCTCTGTGGTTTTCCTTTTCCTCTAAATCTTATCCTTCTCGTCCTCTTACATCATCACTGCGAGACCGTCCCAAACCCTAAGAGGGGGGTTGATTACATTACCAGGCTGGTTTAAGTGGTTTGTCTTTAAATTTATTATGACAGTTGAGCGACTGACGTGGCAGCAGAACAAGGATTTTATAATCTAACATGCTGTGGTTTGGGGGGCCGGACCAAATCAGAGATGTAAAAACCTAAAGTTGGCCAGCAGAACTGCTCTCGCTGTCTTAGAGACTGCCTTTCACATCACTTACAGTCCAGTCATCTCATAAAGTGGGGTTTCTACTCTTTATAAATGTTTTTTATTTGAAGTGAATTGATTTGGGGATTTAAAAAAATGAACAATAAAACCATTCATGTATTTTTGACCTCAGAGAAAAGCACATGGAAGTGTTACATAAAGAAAAAACTGAATACTTTCTCGTCATCTTTCAATCCTAATAATAATAAACCTATTTTAACTTTTGTTACAAGGGTCTTTACAAACAACACACGCAGATTTAAACCTAGCTATAAAACATTTCAAGTGAATAATGAAATAATAAAATAATCACAAACACAGAAATAAAAACAACCACTCATAAGATAAGTTCAAAGTAATAAATAGTAAAGTAATGAAAAAAAAGCTCACTTAAAAGCTAAATGTGTTTTTTTTTTTTTTAAAGATTAAAAACCCTGAAACCTGTTCTAGCTGCCCTGATATCCACAGGCAGGCAATTCCAGACAGACAACAATCTCGACGTTAACACCCCGGCAGCAGAATTTCTAACAAAACAGAAAAGAGATTATGTAGTAAGAAATAATGAATTTGTTAGCAGTTTCCAGATTTTTTCCTAATCTTAGATACGTTCCTGAGCTGCTAGAAATGATATGGAACTACTGATTTAATTTGTTTATTCATCCTGTGATTAATGCTGTATCATAGAGTGGGATAGTGAAGTAGCAGCAGAAGACCATAGGACAACCTTTACCTATCAAAACAAAGATGAAGCATTTAGTAGTTCTTTCAAAGTTCAGAGAAACTGTTTCTGTCTGCTGTGACTAAAGTCTGTGTATTTGTATGTATGCTTCATTCCCAGAGACCTGAGTAACAACCAGATATCTGAGATTGCTCCCGATGCTTTCCATGGCCTCCGAGCTCTCAACTCCCTGTGAGTAACATGCAGTGTGTGTGTGTGTGTGTGTGTGTGTTTGTGTTCGTGTGGTTTTGTCAGGGTGAAGACTTGGTTTTAGGGTTCAGGTTAGAATTAGGTGGGTAGGGTTAGGGTTAGGCATGTAGTTGTGATGGTTCAGGGTACTGTAAGGGGCTAGGGAATGCGTTATGTCAATGGCAGATCCCCACAAAGATAGTGATATAGTGTGTGTGTGTGTTGAGTGTTATGAGAGTGCCTGTATCAATATGTATTTACATACATCAGTACTATACTTGTATGCCTCCATTTGTTTGCCTCGCTTGCATGTGTTTAAGCTTCTGTTGATCTGAATAATTCATTAAATAACGGCGCCTGCTCTCTCTAAACAGAGATTCCTTATGAAATATCAGGACTTTCAAAAAATAATCGCTGTGTAGCCTGGAGCCGTGTGTGTGTAGATGTGCGTGTGTGTGCGTATGTTTATACTGTATGTGGCATTAATGTGTTCTCTGCAGGGTTGTAGGGGAGTGTGAAGCTACTTAAAGGTTTTACCAATGGAATGGTGGTCTTACTGTTGTTTATGATGATGCAAGTTGATAATAAAACTTTATAGTAACTACAACACTGATCGAAAATATATGAGTACAGGTTGTTTTAAGAAAAAAACCAAATCATCTTTGTGTGCAGGGTTCTGTATGGTAATAAGATCACTGAGCTGCCCAGCGGAGTGTTTGATGGCCTGGCCTCTCTGGAGCTGCTGTAAGTCCAAACCACAACATGAATATATTTGTCTGAAGTGACATTTACACTGACTTTCTTATTTACACAATTGAATTTCAGGTGTCAAATGGCTTGAAAGCTCCTATAATTTTGGATGGAAACTAATGTGTCTTTTTGCCAAGTCAAGCAGATGTAAAGCTGTTTCACATTCAACATGCTGTGATGGGACTTTTTTGATAACAGTGCCATATCTTCTTATGTACCACATGATGCATTTCACATGCTGAAGCTTCAGTTATAGCTGGTAGCTGTTCACAAGGTTTGGGAGTTTTGTTTGAAAGCAAGTCATGTCATCATCTAAACAGTCTGGTCCTGTTTAAATTTTCAGAGGATTTTTTTCCTCCATATTTAAATCTTGTAACAAAAACCAGGCTTGTGAGATCAAATTCATTATGCTGATGTTCTCTTGTGTTTATCAGGTTGCTGAATGCCAATAAGATCCACTGCATCAGAGCCTCAGTGTTCAAAGATCTGGAGAATTTGGCTCTGCTCTCGCTGTATGACAACAAAATCCAGAGTCTGGCAAAAGGCACCTTCAGCTCACTGCACAGCATCCAGACACTGTAAGAAAACACACACACACTAGTCTCTAAGTTCTGTTCTGTTCCACTCCATTCAGTCTGATCTGACTGATGTCCTTCCCCCTTGTGATTTCCCTTCAGCCACCTGGCCCAGAACCCCTTCGTGTGTGACTGTAATGTGAAGTGGCTGGCTGACTTCCTGCGTTCAAACCCCATAGAGACCAGCGGAGCACGCTGCGCCAGCCCTCGCCGCCTCGCCAACAAACGCATCGCACAGATCAAGAGTAACAAGTTCCGCTGCTCTGGTTAGTGTGTGTGTGTGAGTGTGTGTGTGTGTGATGAGAAGAATAAATAAAGACAGTAGTGGGAATTGAGATGGGTAGTGACAGTCTGGGTTTATGTGCTACAGTTCATAGTATAAGATGTTGAACTACAGCAAAGCTTCCCTCAAGAGAAATATACACAGAAGAAATGCAAAATCAATATCCTCCACAAGCCTTTTGTCATGTACATTCCCTATTAGCATATATATTAGTTACATTCTTATATTAGATATTCTGCTGTCAGACACAATCACTTCTCTGTTCATAGCACAAAATCCAGACTTGAGCTGCAATGATTAATTGATCTGCAACCATTTTCATAATCGATTACTCAGTTTTCTGGTTTCATTACTGCTCAATCACAATAAACTGAATATCTTTGGCTTGTGGAAACAACAAGACATTTTAGGATTTCATCTTGGACTTTGGGAAACACTGATCAACATTTTTTGCAATGTTCTGACACATTCTAGACCAAAAAAACGAATCGGTTAATTACAAAAATAATCTACATATTAATTGACAATGAAAGTAATATTTAGTTGCAGCCTTAATCCAGACTGTTGCATAATGCTTTGTTCAGAAAAAGCTGAACCAATGAGAACGTCTCTCTTCACTTTCCTTTGATGTAAAGCATCATAAGCCAATTGTGTCAGGGTCAGACAAGGTGTACCAAATACAAGATTATTCCAGTTTGAGAGATCCGTGATTAGATAGAGAGATTCATGGTGCTCCAACTACAAGAGCACATTGTTTCTGGCTAAGATAAAAATCTAGTCAAGTATAAATTGAATTTAAGGAACATTTCTGCCTATAGGGGGCGTTAGAGTGGTTTTAGACATTTATTCTTGTAAAATAAAGTGCAGGAAATATTTAGGTTCCAACAGCTCAATGCCATCAAATAATTAGTAGGCTACCTTTTAGAATAAAACATTAAGCTCCATATTGTTGATTTAGACCCAACAGAAGTATTCATTTTTATTAATATTAAGTTCCCCTTTAAAAATTACAAAACTAATAATAAATGTAGGTAAACGGCTAGTAAAGTAACACAGTGCGTGTGAAGTGTGTGATACAAAGAGACATAAGAAAGTGTTTTCATGAGTGTATGTGCGATGGTTTACTATACAATATATGAGGTTTAAAATATTGGTTAGAAAGTGCAACAGTGTGCATAACAAGAAGATGAGAATGAAGCGAGTTAATCTCACCGACTGTAACCGGATGCCTGTGGCTAAAAGCTCCCGGCCGTTTCCTTCACCCACACCATGCCAGTGTGTGAAGCCAGCCCCTGGCCAGTGAAACCATGGCAGGCTCTCTAAACACCACATAAACTGCTCACTGCTGCTTTAGTCCCCTGCCAGGCCTGGAAAGCTGCCCGCAGGCCGACACATCGCTTCCATAAAACAGCAAACATGGAGAAAGATCGTTGCATGTCTTCCGTCACATTTAAAAAATGTTAAAGTGAACTGCTGCCAGGTTTATACAAGACCTTCTTCAGGTGTGTGTGTATATGTGTGTGTATGTGTTTGTTCCATAGAACCTTTCAAGCATTTTGACTGACGTGGTTTTGTTTGTCTTTCTTTTTCATGACAGCCAAGGAGCAGTACCACATCCCAGGTGATTATGTTGTGTGCGTGTGTTCTAGTATTTACTGTCTGTCAAGCCTACACTGTGTATGCCTAATCACTTAATTTAACCCAAACAGCTTGACAGCATTTAATAACAATAACACGCACTGGGGCAGTTCCAGAACAAGACATGACTGCTTTTAAATCTGCAGTCTGACTGTTTTCTCTCAATGTTTGTGTTTAGAACTCATGCCGTTAGTTATCTGATGGATTGTCAGTGACATTAAATGGACCTTTCGTCTGTCCTCCCTGTGTGTGTTTGGTGTGTCTAGGTACTCAAGACAGGCGTCTGAGCTATGAGTGTAACAGTAAGCCAGTGTGTCCTGCTAAGTGTCGCTGTGAGGCCAACGTGGTCGACTGCTCCAACCTCCGCCTCACCAAGTTCCCTGAACACCTGCCCTCCTCCACTGAAGAGCTGTGAGATATAAATGCATACACCTGCACAGAACACATGTACTTAGAGCCCAAACGACACTCGATGTTTGATGCTGATACCTGTATCAGTGCTTAAAAGTACGATAGTCTGCATTTATGTGACTGAAATATATACAGTAGGGCTGTATCATAAATTCTGAACATTAAAAAACATTTCTTCACAAATTTGGTTATTTAAGAGTTGTGATGTCTGAGGCAGGATATTAACACAAATATAAACCAAAAATATTTAAAGCTTTTTAAAGTTAAAATATACTTAGTGCATGTAAATCCTATATTAATGCAATTTACTGCACTGCAATTTCTTACAAAACATTGACATTGACACTGATTAGGGCTGTCTCTAATGATTGCTTTCATTATAAATCAATCAGTTGATTATTATAATTTTCTATAAGGTCATACAATACTGAAAAATAACCATCAAGTTCCTAGAGCCCAAGGAAAACAAAATAATGCAGCAAATCCTCACTTTTTAACGACATTAATTAAACTCTTTTAATATTTGTGAGAACGTGATAAAACTATCTTTCTATGAATTGATTAAGTGTTTAAGCACAAGTACCAATATATCTGTGAGTGGCTAATGCCAATATCAGCTGACGATTTTGGCCTCGCTGATCAGCCTGGCTCCAGAATACACAGTTACAGTGGGTCGTTTTCTATTCGGGGGATGCTTTTGTTCAAAATGCATGCATTATAGCACGCGGGGTCCCTGTGGGGTCAGCAATGTTAACGCCATCCTCTGCAAGACACACTCATGATTCATGATACACTCCAGTGCATGTACACACACACACACATAGTACACAGGCACTTTATGGATATCCATGTTGACATGTGTCTATGGACTCGTACTGCATGGATGCACACACATTCCAGACCGACTCTTCTGCTAATGATGTTTTTGCTCCATCCTCCTCATGTCTGCTCTCTGTGACCGTCCCAGGCGTCTCAACAACAACGACCTTTCCGTGCTGGAGGCCACCGGAGCCTTCAAAGGCCTGTCGCAGCTCAAGAAAATGTAGGTCACTCAGAAAACTTCAACAATCTCATAGTCAAGCCTTTGCCATGACCTAAAGAGAGAAAAGAGGTTGAGTACAGTACTTATAAACTTGTATGAAAAGAAGATTTATAAAGTCTTGCTTGGAAAAATACATGGATAGGGTACACACACAAACAAGAATACTAATTCATAACTTACACCACTGAAAGCATATCTCCAAAAACGATGAGCACCTACAATTGACCAGGTTGACTTCCACCACACAAGCAGACAGTTTGCTCCAGCAGCTGGACTGAGTACATTGCCCTGAATCTCTCAGAATAGATCTTGTGATAAACAAAACAGTGTTTGAAAACCATAACTTGTAGAAAGCATTTCCTATTATTTATTATTATTTTTTTCTTCCTTCCTTTCAGTAACTTGAGCAACAACAAGATCTCCGAGATTGAGGATGGGGCGTTTGAAGGTGCATCCTCTGTGGTGGAGCTTCACCTGACAGCCAATCACCTGGAGTCTGTGAAAGGGAGCATGTTTAGAGGCATGGAGGGACTACGCATGCTGTGAGTTGACTTCATACTTATAATCATCATCGCAGAGAGTAAGGTATGTAGCTCAGTTAGACCCCAAAAGACTTAAGAAAGATGTAAACACAGAGGCGGAGACAGGGTAAAAGTGAGAGACACTAAAACATTTACAGTTAATTAACGAGTTGTAGGACTCCTGGGTGAAAGACAAGTTTATTGTCATTTATCCATTTGATTTCACAGTGCATACAAAGGCTTAACATGTACAACAAAACAACTGACTGGATGTAATATAAGAAATATTAAATGGTAAAAGAAAATAAACCAGAATAAAGTACCTGTAAAAGTGGACCTACCAGCAATTCACTTATTCACATTACTTAAAAATTTCACAATGGCCAAATTTATCAGTTCTAAGTTTATATTGATCCCCTCATCTTAAAGCAATAAAATCATTCCTATAGTAGTGTCTTTTAAAATGTGTGTGTAGCTTGTTGGAAATGTGTGTGTGTGTGTATATGTAGGATGCTGAGGAACAACAAGATCAGCTGTATACATAACGGCAGCTTCACGGGTCTGGCCAACGTCCGGCTGCTGTCCCTCTATGACAACCAGCTGAGCACCATCCTGCCCGGAGCCTTTGACACGCTGCCAAACCTGTCCACGCTGTCAGTGACACACACATACACTCGCATGTGTCTCGCATCTGTATCTTTGTTGTCCTCTTTGTCATCTTCTCTACATTTCCTCTGTCCATCAGGAATCTTCTGGCCAATCCTTTTAACTGTGACTGCCGTCTGTCCTGGTTCGGGGCGTGGCTTCGGAGCCGGCGAATCGTGACGGGGAATCCTCGCTGCCAGGCCCCTGCCTTCCTCCGAGAGATCCCACTGCAGGACGTAGCTGTACCTGACTTCCGCTGTGAGGATGGTACGATACTCTGATAAATACACAAATATACCGTGATGGCAACAGTTCAAAAGCCTCCCTCAAAGCATCACCATAACCTCAGCCTATAGATGAGCATGTAGACAAAGGTGAAAAAGAAAATGCTAAATTTTAGAGGGGAGTTTGAGAACCACATCATGTACAATATTACCTCTTGATGTCAACGTTTTTTTATTATAATTAAAGAAAACTGAGCTTCCGCCTTCCTGTCTGTCTGCGCAGGCTCTGTTCTGGAGGACAGCAGCTGTGCCCTGGGGCCGCAGTGTCCCAGCCAGTGCACCTGTATGGACACAGTGGTCCGCTGCAGCAACAAACACCTGCAGGCTCTCCCCAGAGGACTGCCCCGCAACGTGACCGAACTGTGAGTCTGGAAACACAATCACAGCAGCCTTCGATTTAAATTGCGTTTCACATCATCTTCGATCCTATTAATGACAAACATGACAATGTCAGGACATCCCAGAAATGAGTCCAAAAAAAACCAACCACAGCATATTTGTTATATATCATCATCAAGAAAGAATAGAAGAAGGTCACAAATGTTAAAAGATAATAGGCTGTTTCAGGGTAAGCCCTGAAATGTCTTGATGCTGACACAACATCACAAAATTAGCCATACATACTTTATATGTATACAGCCAATGCTGCAAAATTATTTATTATTATCAGCGATGTTTATCTTCCCTAATTTACAGACTGTAATTATGGGTTTCTGAGAAAGTTGTTACACAGTGTAAGACTGAGGGATACATTTTAATTAAATGTGTTTTTCTGCAGGAACCACAAATTAATGTTTTCTTGTCATAAGGAGTCGCTTTTAATTTAATCATTTCAAGAAGAAAATCTGGAACCTCTTGACTTGATTATGTGTGAATCAGTGATGTATTATCTCACAAGAGATAAATGTCTCTCTCTTGTCCTCTCAGGTATCTGGATGGTAACCAGTTCACCAGTGTTCCTAAGGAGTTAGCCACTTTCAAATATCTGCAGCTTGTGTAAGAGGCACTCGACTAAACGCTCTATTCACGCTAATGTACCTCATCACACTCTAACACTAGCCCTCAGCCACATCTGCAGTCGCTGACACTCTTATTCTGATTACACATTATATATGTACTCATCTGCGTTTAGTATAGGAGTTATTTTTAATATACAGTGCAGAAACAGTTTTATTGTTTTGTCTCTTGTCTTCCACATTGGACTTGAAGCAAAGACTTTGAGGTCTAAGTACTGACTTTAAGCTTTAACAGTGAGCAGTGTAGGACTCATTTTTATAGTCTCCTAGTTTTGTGACGATGCAGCAGGGCATCAGGGCCTAAACATATAGACAGGTATCCAAGGAAAGTTTTAGGACTAACAAGTGGAAAGATCTTGACAGTCGTATGACCTTGATCAAGCTGATATTTTTCTCGGCTTTAAGCAAAAAAAAACAATAAAACAGCACGAAGTCAAGCTGGCTGCAGAACAGGCCTGACAGACACTCACCATGAGATACCATGAGTCTGCTGAAAGTCAGAGACTTCAGTCCATGCAACTAAATATTATATATAATGTCTTTATTTTACTTTTTAAAAATGTGTCCATTACATTTTGGTGCATTACAACTGGGAGACTTAACATAAAAGCAGTTCCTACAAAGACCATCTGATATGGATGTGAACACTCTCAATTTAAAACTGAGAATCACCACTTTAACCTCAGAGTTACAGTTAAGTTCAGATCTCTTTACATTAACTAGTCTCACTTTTTTGATAAGCTGTTAATCCTAAATTTATACTGGATGTAAAAGAGGTGCATGTGCAGACAAACCCCATGCAGACTGTATTTACAGATAAGATACAGATCAAATCCAGCAGGGGGAGCTGTGGACTGTGTACTCAATTCTTTGGGGAGAAGTCTGGCTCATTCTAAAAGTATTATGTTTTTGAAATAGTATATTATAGTATCACAAACACAAACTTCTTCAGGTGAATCAGTTCAGATCAATGATTAGCAGCATTTTTAGATGTTCTGTTGGGAAAATGTGTGTCTCCGTGTGAGAATGTGTGTGTATGTTATGGAGAGAAAGAGGAGAGCGATTGCAATATGTGTTATTATTACTGTGTGTATGTGTGTGTGTGTATGTGTACTGTATGCATTTGTGTATCTAATGGGACTGCTGCCGCTGTGTATGTGTGTATTGATTGGAATTGACCTTTGTCCCTGCAGAGATTTGAGCAACAATAAAATCAGCTCCCTGTCTGATGACTCCTTCTCCAACATGAGCCAGCTCACCACTCTGTGAGTCCTCACACAGACACAGACTCATACACCTACTAACATCCCTTTCACATGTTAAATGAGAATTCCACCCCAAACGAATGTTCCCATCTCTGACAGAAAAGCTATATTTACCGCTTGAGATAAGATATGACCAGTGTCCATTAATTGAAACTATTCAGTCGTTAATAATATAATAAAAGACACAAGTCTGTACAGCTTAAGAGAAGAGGTGGAAATTTCAGACAGTTAGGCAGATATGAGGCAATGAAACAAAGCCCCTCATGTGTCACATCTTAGTCATTTATGAAAGTCTGCAGTTCTTCTCCAATATTTTACACTTTTGCTGTTTGAACAGAAGGAAGTATCTCTTCATATTGGTTGGTGGAAGTAGCTTATATGTGTCTGTTGTTGTTATTAACATCTCCATACCCTGCTTTTAACAGAGTACAGAGCCTTTAATAACACAAGCACATCTGAGAATTTGTTTTGTCTTGTAAATTTGTGACCTTAATCTCAGAAATTCTAGTATAAATATCACCCTATGTTATCTCCACCTTGAGCTATGGCCCTCTTTTATACTTGTGTGGCATCAAAGGGAGTGATGAATCTCCCTCCTGGGGACACAATGCTGTGCCAGTTGGCTTGCATACCGGGGATGAGGTCTGCAGTTGGACACTTCTCGTGTTGTTGGGGAAAAATCTTTGGGGTCCAAGTTTAACACTTTCATTGAAATCTGCCCAATAACTGTTGTAGTAGCTACTGACATCCTTACACCCTGCTAGCTAGCTGAGCGTAAGCAGTGATGAATGTATGGAGTAGGCCAGTGTAGTGTGTTAATACTGACTGTATCTTAGAGTTGAAGTTGTCATTGTGTTCTTTCTCCTCCTGCAGGATCCTCAGTTACAACTCTCTACGCTGTATCCCTCCTCTTGCACTGAGTGGCCTGCGCTCTCTGAGACTGCTGTGAGCTTTCTCACACACACACACACACACACACACACACACCGTACTTATCATACTTATCATACTTGTCACTGTTGTTTTCCACTACAACAAGCCGTCATCTGTTTTTGTTATTATTGGACTTGATGAGGCTCGCTGCCAATCAGACTCATTGTGGTCTCTGAGTTTTCAGCATGACAGCTTTTGACCGTTTATAACCCTCAGCTGTGTCCATCTTTCAGCTCTCTCCATGGCAACGACATCTCTGAGCTGCAGCAGGGCATCTTCAGCGACGTGGCCTCCCTGTCTCACCTGTAAGCACACAGATATCCATGTCGTACACCAACACACACACACATAATCACCAACTGACAGCAGGTTCTGTCCACACAGAAGACAGAATGAGGTGTGTGTGTGGTGTGTGTGTGTTTGTGTGTGTGTTTGATGCATGTTCAAATACTTGCCTTCCAGTTTTCAGAGAGTGAGTGGTTTCAAGTGGCTGCCTGGTGGATTGAATTAGCTGGCAAGATCAATCGTTTCCCATGGGTCTATTGATCAGAGGCGAGTGTGTGTATGTCTACAGTATAATCATCTTCAGTCAAGCATGACCCATGTGAGTCAATCTGAGGATCCACAGTAAGAGTGGAAGGAGGAGGAGAGAGGTGGATGGTGGGGATGAGGTTGAAGATGAAGAGGAATAAGGAAGGCAGGAGAAGTGGTGATGGAGGTCAGCAGGAGGGGAAAGTGTCAACGGGAGGTGAAGAGAGGAGGGAGGGAGTATTATTATATTTGTCTTCTGAAGCAGGACATTGACTCTGAAATAAGATCCTGCTGACTTTCAGTCAGGGTAATAAATCAGGCTGTAAAATGATCTCATGTAACTAGATCCACTGCTAAGATTGACTATTTTGTTATTGAGTTTTCTCTCTGATGCTTTCTTTATTTGTCGAGGTGGAGTCTGGAAATTCAACATTTCATGGCTTTGTGAGGCAACGACAATTCACTTTTTAAAAAATTTGTCCACCAAAAAAAAACAATAAAAAAATGTTGATGTAATTATAAATGTTATTTCACCCTTCATAAGAATAATGTGAAAGGAAACGTGGTAAAATTGTAATCAATTACACCTGTGTATAGTCTTTGTTGTCTTATCTGTCATCTTACTAACCTGCTTGTGATACGGAAATTGCAGTAATTTTGACATCTGCCTCAGTATTCTCCCCCAAATGTGTTTAGTAAAACAACTTCTGTGACTGGCTCGTAGGATGTTATAAGAACCAATAGAATCTTCACAATAAGCTGTAATAAGCAATAAGCTGTAACTGTCCTTCGAACTATGCCTTTGTTGACTTCCCAGAAGCCTCTTCAGATAACCTGTGGTTGTGTACGAGACAAGAAACAAGAACCACACATGCTGGTCAGTGATAGGCTGAAGATGGTGATGTAGTCATGTGAAATTCTGTGTGGGTAAATAAAAGACTGGAAGTGTTTTCCTGAGATACCGTGACACGTGTGTGTGTGTGTGTGTGTGTGTGTGTGTGTGTGTGTGTGCGTGCGCGCGCAGCATTACGCGATGACGGTTATTTGATCCCACATTTGACTCTGATAATCTTATCAGACTGGTCTAAATGAACATTATTAGCACCATGATCTGAGCAGAGCTTTGAGGACTGAGAGCACCACCGTGTGGATTTTTAAAATTTGTGCAAAAATGTCTGTCTTTGCTTCTTTCATTCTTTCTTTCCATCCAGCTTCCTTACCCCTTTCTCCCATCCTCTTTACCTTTCTAATTTCCTCTTTTCTCCCATCTTTACCATTCCTAATCCTTCCTCTCATAACCTGTCTCCTCTCATAACCTGTCTCCTCCTTTCTTGTTTTAATTTTTCTTCTTTCATTCTTCCCCATTTTAAGTTGTTGTTCTTCTTTCCTCATTCCACCCCTTACTTATTTCTTAACATTATTTCCTGCTTTCCTTCCCCCTTGTTTGTCTTTTATTCATTTTCTTCCTTCATGTTAGTTTTCTTTCTTTTCCTCTCCCTCAGTTTGCTTCTTGCTGACCTCCGCAATTAATTCACTTCTTACCTCCCATCCTTCACACCATTTTCCTCCTATTTTTCTTGTCTTTCTTAACCAGAACATCCTCCCCCCTGTCAGTCAGCTGACTCTTTGTCCATCCATCGTCAACCGCTTGTCCTGCGTACAGGGTCGTTGGGGGCTGGAGCCTATCCCAGCTGACCAGTTGTCTATTTCTTTTTATTAGAGCGATTGGAGCCAACCCTCTGTACTGTGACTGTCGCCTTCTCTGGCTCTCAGACTGGGTGAAGAGCGGCTATAAGGAGCCAGGTATCGCCCGCTGTGCCGGTCCCCGTGGTATGGAGGGCAAGCTGCTGCTCACCACTCCCGCCGACAAGTTCCAGTGTCTGGGTAAGCTGGCAGGAAGCCACCCTATCATGAAAGCACACACACCTACAAATTGTACATTAAACTAAAGTTTCGTGTCTTGTCATGTCCTTGTCTGTTGATCATTTTTGTACACTTTGTGGTTGTACAGTAAAATATTTTACTTGATATGTGCTTTCTAAATCAAAGTGACCTGACGTGCCATTTTAATTTATCTATGGACTTACAAATCTATGGAATAGAAAGTAAATTGGCTATTTTATCCTGTGTAATTCTGGCATTTATTTAATTTGTAAAATGATCTAAAAGAAGAAAAAGCAACATACTGTCACTTTGCAGTAGATCACATTTAATAAAAGGAAGTGTTTTCCTCTGTGTGACCTTCATCAGGAGGTGGCTGCTTTCATTCCTACACACCTTTAAGTAAACAAAAATCTACAGAAATGTAATAGAGACCAGGGTTCCATTACCTGAAATAGTTAACTGAGTATCTAGGTGGGGATTATTGATAAAGCAGGAAGCCATACACATTCTTATTTTGATTGTTTGTCTAAGTTGTGAAATATTTGATAACTTTCTTTCTCTGTGAGTAGTTCCAGAGGAGGTTGAGGAAACACAGGGGGGTCTGGCCATCCTGCCTGTGTGAAAAGAAACCTCAATCAGTGATAGTCATGGTTCACGACATAGTAATGACTGATTCTACTCTATTTCAGTTAGTTATCAAATTAGCTCACACAGATAAAGCAAACAATGTAAGTACTCACCTCTTCCTGGTTGTCTCCAGGAGGCGCAGGCAAAGGAGTGTGGTAGGCTCAAGCACCTGCTTAAGAGCTGCAGGAGCAAACCATGAAGCTGAGGGTGGGGGGAGTAAAGCAATGCTGATTTATGTGATTATTTTGAGTGTATGTGTTATTGATTTATTGATAGAAATTTGTATTTATGTAAATGTTCATTCTTTGTGCTCTATTTTTCTATGGTGTTGGGTTTTAGATAGATAATTATTATTCTAAATGATAGTAGTTTTAACCACTTAATTACCTGCAGGAGGGAGTGTATATAAGGCTGCTAGTTGCTTTCAGTATAAGTTTGTTGCTGGTTGGTGTTGGTGTCTCATCATGAATGTATGGAAGACAATATATGCCATGTTTGTGCTTTGCATTTTACTTCTGTCTCATGTCTCTCTCTGGAAAAAACTTAAAGCCACCTCCGGGTAATCGGACAAGAACATTGCCTTAAGAAATGAATTATGATATTTTGCTAAAGGCACACATCTTCTAACAGTACTGTTGCTGTGTAAGCTTATTTCTCATTTTCTGTTTCCTGTTTTAGACACTGTTTTTAGAGTGCAATCACAAAGAACAGATTTATGCACAATTTGTAAAATGATCTCATCTGTGTTACCTTCATCAGGAGTTGGTTGCTTTCACTCCTACACACCTTTTAACTGAAGTAAAATTTTTAGAGCTGTCCCAGACTAAGGATTTACATAGTCGAATCAAAATCTTCAAGTCCTGCCTATAATCGAATCATGTGTGTTTTTGTGTACGGCGATTGCGAGCCGAAGCTAAAGTGAGGCTTTTTGAAGACCCTTTTCTCTCTCTCTCTCTCTCTCTTTCTCTCGACTGTCATTCAACGGTCTTGTGCCGAGTTTTACGTGCATGCCGTGCTGCCAACAAATACATGCACGTCGCTGTTCCTCGCTGGGATATTTCAAGTAGCCTGCTATTTAAAATTCTTTGTGTGGTTCATCAACGGTGATAAATTATCCCAAAAGCCCTGTGAGGTGCAGACAACTCGGCACAACACCAGTGAAGCTGGGGCTCCGTCTCTTCAGCAAGTCTTCCTCTTCTGCTACCACACACATACACGCTACGTCTACACATGTGCACTGACGACCCAGTGTTAGGGTTACAATTTTGGATTTATTTACGCACTTTAAAAACATTTATTGAAAGTTTTATTATTTTTACATGTTTATTTACAGCATTAAACGTTTATATTTGTATTGTAATAGGTTCTATATTAACTTATTGGTAGAAAACTGGTAGTTCTATGTAAAATCAGACGTTGAGCACCCCCATATTGCCAAAATGGCATGATCCTTGTTTCGCTGAACCTACGACTGTGAGTTTCAGGCTCCACCCATCGAATCTTCGACTATTTGGGGTCAGCCCTAAAAATTTTATAGAAAATTGCCTATCACATTTGGCTACAGGCACACATCTTTTGACAACACTGTTGCTGTGTGAGTATATTTCTAGTTTTTGTTTTTTTTTCTTGTTTGAAACACTGCATTGTAAGAGTGCATACATATAGTATGCGCAATGCAAGGCTATGTGTGAGGTCAGAGAGGGTGAAGCTGACCTGATATTTTAGTTTATATGAATGCATGGGAACTCTGGCTAAAATTAAAATATAATAACCTTTTTGTGGGTTGATTTAGTTTGTTTTAAATAAATGTTTGGGTACTTTCAGTTAGATTTGGTCATTGACATTTGCTATTTATTGAGCAAACCCTGTCTTAAACAAAACAATGGATGGGACTTGACCGGTTATCTCCAATAAAGCCAGATTGACTTTTTTAGGCTGATAATAACTACATTGGTTCTTTTTTAAGATAAATGCATAACCTAAACAAAAGTCTTTGATAAGTAGTCCCTAAATGAGGTCATTAAATAATTGTGACAGGAAATTTTACAGTTTAAAAATAAACTTATTGCTGTTTTTCCCCACTATTTCTAAATGATCCTAAACATACAGATATACAGCTATATGTTCCACTTAAATCCAATAAATCTATCTAAGCTATTTGCCTGCCAGGTATTCTGAACTGCAAGAAAAGCTACTTGTACTCTTGGTGTAATGTTTAATAAAGATCTCACTTTTGATGAACGACTAAAGAACACAAGATAAAATCTATAAATATGCTCACTCTTGTCTCCTGCTTGTTGTGTGCATTTCTTTTTTCTTGCTTGGACTACTGCAATGCACTTTACTCGGGTATCAGTCCTACCATACTCTAACTGTTGCAGAACAGTGCTGTTACAACTGGCACCTAGAAATATGAGCACATCACCAGCCGTACTAGCCAATTTACATTAGCTCCCTGTGAGATTTCAGATTTCCTGGTTACGCCTATTAAGATTAGACAGATCTGTAACGTCTGTTAAATCCCTTCTTAAAACATTCTTCTATCAAAAAGCTTTAATGCATACTTGATATGTTTCTTGTGGTTTTCCATTTTCATCCTTGCAATTTTATATTCGCCTCTGCTTTTCACTTAATTTTTAATCTCCAGTGTTTGATGATCTCATTGTTTTTATGAGCTCATACTTTGTATTTATTTGTATTTGCCTTGCTGTTTGCAGTGTTATATTGAAGTTTATTATTATAGCTATTATTATAAACAAAAATTGTCCAATAATAACGCTCATGCCGCTGTATCAGTCAGGCTCTAATGTTCATTTAATTTACTGTGTGACTTTTAAAAACAGTTGGCTGCACAAGTGATGGTTTAGCTGTGTGATAGTACGGAGAGTGATCTTTTATTCAGTGTTTTATGTTTGCACTTAGGGATTTGCTTTCAACCGTCTTTACGTGTTGATGAAAAAGCTTAATTAACCTACAATGAATTAAAGTTGTGAAATAATTTTAATAGGTTCTGTAATCAGCTGAAAACACATGATGATAACGGCGGAGAAAAGCAAACGGGGCCTGGCATTGCCGAGCTCAGAGGTTTGGTGTGAAGCTAGTGTGAACTTTCCATTAGTGACAGTTTTTATCAAACGCTGTGTGCACTATCACAGGCGCTAATTGTTGCATTTTTTAAACATCTAAATACTGTAGCACTGTAAAATTCATTGTGAATAGCTTGCTGTAATTGACGTTTCCCTATATCTAGCATGAAGCCTTTTGCAAACTGGATGGTGCTTCCTCTTCATGTCACATAGCTCCATCACGGTTTCTGTATTTGCAGCTGAGTTCTGTTGTACTCATATCAGCACTTGTTTCGTGTACAGTGTAAATGTTGATTAAATAAAACAAATACAGTAAAAAAAATTACATTTAAAAAGATACAACACTTAAAGACACACACAGTCGAGCTTCAATGTGAACTATGTAAACATTAAAACCCAAATTCCTCAATTACAAAATAATTGATGCAATAACAATAATAACTTTACTTAAGTTACTGGAAAAGAACAAAGTACAAATATAAACTTAAACTTGGATGAAACCTTTTTAATGTCTCTGACTCCCTGAATTGTGTCACATGTCAAAAAACCATTAGCATTTCCCTGTTATAATTTACCTATAGTTTAAAAACAGGTCGACAAGTAACCCTTACAGTATTTATCTGATATAAAAATGCAGCCACATCCAATTTTTAAAGAATGAAAAGAGTGTATTCCTATGCATAAATAAGTTGTAACTTTAGAATGTGTTGTCACTGACATATTTATTTCCCACTTCTAAACACATTTCTTTAATTATTTTTATTTATTTTATCTATCCATCTATCCATCTATCCATCCAGATCTGATACACAATTGTCTTTGGAGCTCCATCTGTTGCTTTCCATATATCAAGCCCAATCACCTGACCTCAGAGAACTTCCTGCCTGCTACTGTTTTTTCTCTTGTTATCTGCCTGGCAGCGATCTCGCTTGTTGACAATGATCCTATGAACGTCTTGGTAATGACCTTTTATGAAGATTAAACTTCTAACATGCCTCTGTATGTGTGTTGCCAGGTCCGGTAGAGGCGTCTGTTCAGGCCAAGTGCAGCCCATGTGTGGCCTCTCCCTGCCAGAACCAGGGTGTCTGTCAAGTCCACCACACAGAACTGTACACCTGTACCTGCAAGTCTGGCTTCACGGTATGCAGCTGTGTGTATTTGTGTAGTCACGAGCTGCAGAGAAGTATGCATGATCTAGTTTGTCTGAGTTTGTGACATCCAAAAAGGTTTTTTTCCTGTAGACCCACAGCAATCCATGTACAGACCCAGAATGTTTAAAACCACTGATCCAATTTATTGACATTGCTTGCCAAAAGTGTGCTTTATTTTTAACGACTTTGTGTGTGTGTGTGTGTTTATGTGTGATATTTCAGGGTAAACACTGTGAGACTCCAGTTGATGCTTGTGTCAGTAATCCCTGCACTAACGGAGGAATCTGCCTCAGTGATGAGCAGACCCGGGGGTTCAGGTAACAAGTCTTAACTCTTGCAGGTGGTTCCATGTAGATGTGGATTGAGAAAATAACAGAAAGAACCAGTAGACGTGTCTTACTGTATTATTTGACACCCCAGTGTTAAATCTGCCTATACAAAATATGAAACCATCCTCTAATAACAAAAGGAAACAAATTTAGAACAGCCATGTTATTGTTTCTTCTTTAGGACATTTAAATTATGAAATCTCCCTAACAGACTTCTTCCTCTGTTTTTGGAAGTTTTGGTTATTCCTTCTGGTAGGATTTTTGCCACACTGACAATCTGAAATATCTGAATAACTATTGGATGGATTGTGATTAAATGTGACACACAGATCCATGGCCCCCAGATGTTGAATCCTAATGACCCTGGTTATCCTCTGACTTTACATGTAGCGCCACCAACATGTCAAAATTACCACTTGTCCAATGGTTTAGCTCATGACAGGATTTCGTGTCAGTAATGACAGAATTCATGTCCCCTTAAGTTGCATGTTGAGATAAAAGCAGACACAGAATGCTAAGATTTAGAATTTAAGCATTGTATACTTAGATGCTAATTGTTAGCATCATCACATTATAATTACATGCATGTTAACGTCCTGCCATAAGCTTGCTGACTTGCGTATGTGCTATAATGATGTGTCATCATTATAACAAATTATGTTAACATACAAGTTAACATACTAGGACTACCACAGTGAAGTGTATGGATGCTGGTGTGCTGATATGCTAAAAGTAGCACACATTGATAGAACATTTATAAATGTAATATAATTATTATAATATATATTATTAATTTGCATATTTTAGTGCAATTAATGGCATTTTACATGTGTATCCCTTAACGTTTTTCCTTGTAGTTGTGAATATCTTTTTTCTTTTTAGTATAGTAGTTACTGTAGTATTTCATCTACTTTGTAGCTGTGGATATTAGAGTTTCTTTGTTTTCTTTGTTTTTATTTGTTTAGCTGTGCATGTGCATTTGGTTTCCATGGTATGTTCTGCGAGGTGAACGTGGACGACTGTCAGGACCACGGATGTGAGAACGATGCCACCTGTGTGGACGGAGTGGGCAACTACACCTGCTTGTGTCCTCCAAACTACACAGGTATGACACCCCTGTGGACAGACCGTGACAGACACAGCTGTAGCCGGGATCAGCTTGGGAGTGCCTCACTTTATGTCCTTCTTCCATTTAGAATTTTTTATTATGAATCAATGAAACAAACTTTTGTAACAGTTGATCTTTCTAAACATGATGAGAGGACAAATGATCTGAGGTGAAATTATGTACAAGCTTACATGATCCCACTTTCTCTCATTGTCAGGCCTGTTTTGTGAGGAAGAGGAGGGTGTGTGTTCTCCAGGTAGAAACCCCTGTCAGCATCAGTCCACCTGCGTCAGCACTCATATCGGCCCCAGGTGACAGCACACACACACACACACACACACACTTTATCACTGCTGGCTCAACAAGGATTCAGATCCTGGATGAGATTAAAAATACAGAAACAAACACATCCAAAGGTACATTTTCACGATGGCTGTGTTAACTCACCAAAATCCTACACAGTGTGTCATGTCAGTTTATGTGTGTGTGTGTGTGTGTGTGTGTGTGTGTCTTTCAGGTGTGTGTGTATTCCAGGCTGGGTGGGGCCAGACTGCAGTATAGATTATAATGAATGTGTGGACCATCGCTGTCAGAATGGAGCTCAGTGTGTCGACCATCTGGACGGCTACAGCTGCGTCTGTCCACAGGGATACAGGTACTGGGACCACTAGGAAAACTGGGAATACTGGGAACACAGTGAGCACAGGTCATACTGTACGTAGGGAAATTAAGAAGTCGGAACTTAGGGAACCCTCGAAAATCCGATTTCCTTTATCATCTTAGGGTACAGGAGACTTGACCCTAGTTTATTTATGCTTTTGTTGCATAAGTCATATGTAGTACAAATATATTTTCCAGATATAGTTAAGAAGAAATTTGTAGTTTCAGCCTCATTTTACCTTCCACATAAAAGATCACAGATTTTAAAACAATATAGAAAACTGGTTTTGGATTGTTACTTAGTATTTCCCAGTACCCTGAGTATTGGTATGAGGATCAGTGTGACTCTTATTTTGAAGTAATTAGACTATAGCAGCAAATGTTAAAGGCTTTCCGATACAGTTTTGGACGTCTTCTTTTCCCCACAGTGGTACATTTTGTGAGGTGGCCCTTCCTCTCCAGTCACTCTGCCGTGTGGCTCAGTGTCAGAACAGCGCCCCCTGTGTGGAGAAGACAGGGACTGCGGTCTGTCAGTGTTTGCCAGGCTTTGAGGGTCAGAGCTGTGAGAAGCTGGTCAGTGTTAACTTTGTCGACCGAGATTCTTATGTTCAGCTTCAAGATGTAAAGAACTGGCCTCAAGCCAACATCACACTGCAGGTGAGAACATGACACATATGAACTCACATCCAGAGACCTCATACTGTAGGTGACAGACCTGATAGAAATCAAATATCAGCAGTAGCAGATTCTGTGTGTGTGTGTTTCAGGTGTCAACAGCAGAGGAAAACGGCGTCTTGCTCTATAACGGAGACAACGAGCCAATCGCTGTGGAGCTCCATCAAGGTCATGTAAGGGTCACATATGACCCTGGGAACCAGCCTGCCACTGCTATCTACAGGTACACACATACAGTTACTTGTTACTACTATGTCTGTTACTAAAATGTGTTAAAATAGGTGATGATTGGAGTGCAGGGAAAATTTGTTATCAAGATGAAACAAGCCAAGCCTCCTCCTTTTTCAAATGATGATGATATGTGGATCCTGCCAGCACGGATAAGCCTACTATATATGAACAAAATTATAAATGCCCCCATTCATCATGAGCTGAACTCAAAGATTTAAGAGTTTCTCTGTGTACACAAAAAGCCTATTTCTCTCAACCATACATATATATATGTATGTGTGTGGATATACACTGAACAAAATTAACTGCAAATGATTGAGGTATGTGCTCAAACTTTTTGATTTGTCCAACAATACATTGTGTGTATATAGATATAGCATTAGTATTGCCTGACTTTGATATAGGTAGTGGGGTCCAATGCTGTCTAGTGCTGTAAAAATGCTTTGTCACAAATAAAAGTCCTGCATTGATGAAATATTACTTAAGTAAAATATAATCATCGAAATGTACAAGTATCAGAAGTAAATGTACTCGGTGCAGAAAGATTGTTATACTATCTCTCTATATATATTAGATCATTAGATCATTATTACTCATATGTGCAACATTTTACTGTTGTAGTTGAGGTGCAGCCCCAGTTTTTAACTTTCTGACAGGGCTGCAACTAATGACTGTTTTCATTATGGATTAATTAACTGATTATTTTCTTGATTAATCGATTGATTGTTTGGTTTGTAAAATTGCCGTCACAATAAAGTTTCACCTTCACACCTTTATCCAACCAACAGTCAAACCTCAAATTAATACTAAATACATTAATAAATTGTTAGAGCTATGTTATAGTGCATTTTGTGTGAGTATCATGACTACAATGTGCTGAACCCGACCAGCTCAACATATTTAACATCACACTTAACCATGTGACTCCAGCCAGGAGTCAACAGGTTGATTAGTGAAAAGCTGAGTGTTCGTTGAGTTGAGCTATCCACTGAACTCAGCAGCCTCTCAGCTTCCTGTAGCCCAGCAACGCCGCTCAGAGTGTGCACAGTCTATGATCTGTGTTGTTGCTCAGTGCGAGTCTTGCAGTGTTCGCGAATGTGGACAGATGACATCGGCAGTGTGGGTATTCTGGTTTAATCAAAGATGCAGACGACACTTGAGGCGGAGTGTGCACTTGATCAGGTGTCGAGTGCTTAAATGTTTGGATGGTTCATGTTGAGGAGGAGGACGCTCTGCCAGACACACACACACACACACACACACACACTCTGAGGCTATTTGTGTAAAGAGAAACTGCAGAGAAAAGAAGATGGAGAGCATGGCAAATCACCTGAAAAGACAAAGAGATCAGAGAAAGATACACGTAGTGAGAAAACAGTGGAAAACTTGAAATATGAAAAAGAGGGATTTATTCGTCAAAATGACATGATGACCGATGTCATCTGTCCACATTCCCATCGACAACGGATGAAAAATAGCCTTTTGGCTAATTCTGGTGCATTTGCAGCAATGTTAATTAATGCACACTCTCCCTGTCAAATAAACTAATAAATAAATAAAATAGTTATAGTCAACACAAAGAAAAGTCCTGACTTTCCTAGGGATTGTCAATATAAAACAAAGCACAGGCCAGAATAGACTTATAATAACCTGCGTCAAAATGTCTGAATCTTACCACATCTTCTTTTACACAGTGCTACTAGAAATATAGCTAAAATTCGATCTATGTTAACTTTTAAGGACACCGAGACCATTTTACACGCCTTCATCTCATCACGCCTGGATTATTGCAACAGCCTTTTCACCTGTTTAACCCAAAAATCTATTGATCGACTCCAGACTGTCCAGAACTCAGCTGCCAGGCTTTTAACCAGAACAAAGAAATATGACCACATTACTCCTATTTTAGCTTCATTACACTGGCTCCCAGTATATTTTAGAATTGACTTTAAAATTCTATTGATCACTTTTAAAGCTCTTCATGGCCTCTCGCCTTGTTATATTTCTGACCTTTTAGTCCCATACACACCAGCACGTACCTTGAGATCCTCGGGCAGAGGTCTGTTGTCTGTTCCAGAGTCTCGACTGAAAACTAAAGGGGACAGAGCGTTTGCTGTCAGGGCCCCGAGGCTCTGGAACAGCCTGCCCGAGGAAATTAGGTCGGCTGAGTCAGTGAACTCTTTTAAGTCCCTTCTTAAAACATACTTTTATAGGAGAGCTTTTCCCGATCTTATTTGACTTTATTTTATCCCTTTTATTTTATTGTATTTTACTAATTTTATATTAAATTTTCATGCTCTTATCTTTTTTTTGTATTATTCTTTACACTTGTTAAAGCACTTTGTAACTTGTTTTTGAAAAGTGCTCTACAAATAAGGATTATTATTATTATTATTACTTTGTGTTGAGGCATCACTATGTTTCAGGTCAACATGCAGCCAAAAGTATGGAAGATTTTATTGGACTTTAATATTTGTAACCCACAGAAAACAATCCACAAATGTGTACTATGATGAGCAAATATTTCACAATATCTACAAATATGTATTTTTACATTTGTGATGCGTAAAATCATATCCACAAAAACACAGCGTTACTTCTACACACAAAACAGTTTTTGCACATTTGCAGATTGCTCTCTGCCAATTTGTGGGTCATGTTACATTTGTAACTTCCTTTTTACACATTTGTGGAATTTTGTCCAATGTGTATGTGATCAAATGGTGACCTGTTTTGAGCCTTTACCTTTCTTTTCCCCTGTGAATATTGAAACAGGGAATAATATTTATTTGGTTTATGATTGCATTGCTTTTTGTCAATATTTCCCTGTGCTAAGTTCCTACATTGTAAATGTATTATTTATGTTACATTATTTATGAAATATGTGTGTTACACCCTCTACATACAGCACTGAGACGGTGAACGACGGGCAGTTTCACACTGTAGAGCTTGTGACGTTTAATCATATGGTGAACCTGTCTGTGGACGGAGGAGAGCCGACAACTCTGGACAGTCAGGGCCGGAGCCAGCTGGTGACGGGGGAGGCGCCTCTTTACGTTGGAGGTAAGAGCAGAGAGGCAGCAGAGGGTAAACACTCCTAAACTCCTAAAAATCTTTCTATTCATGGACCAGAAGTTTATAGAAAAAATATATTACCCAAGATTGATTTCTGTCTAACGGTCTCTCTCTTCAGGTATGCCTGAGGAGGTGATGCCCGCCTCTCTGGGTCTCTCGTCTCAGACCCTCAACACGTCTAGTTTCCATGGCTGCATCAGGAACCTCTACATCAACCACGAGTTGCAGGACTTTACCCGCAGCCACATGAAGCCGGGGGTGGTGCCCGGCTGTCAGGCCTGCCGCAAACTCTACTGTCTGCATGGCATCTGCCAGCCCAACGCTGCTCAGGTAGGAGCCAACTTACAACAGCCTGCTTCATTTCTGATCTTAAATGTATACTTAATGTATACTTTTTGATACGTTCTACAGTCAGTACTGACTTCTCAGAGAAAAACTGTACATTCTCTCATCTTTAAGAGGCACTATGCTGCAGGTTTTCAGCTCTCCAAGACTACGCTTATGTTTTCTGATATTAATGACTCCGTTAACCAGTTTTACAAATGGTGCTCCTTAGCTCTTGATACTATTGCTCCAAATAAGACCAGCTGTCAATCTGTCCCCTCGGATAAATGATTTTTTTTGATGCCATAGAAGAAATTAAAGAAAGGTTGAGCTGTGGATGGAAAACTACTTTCACATGAAGGAGCTACTAATTGTGCACAATCAACTCATGAGAGCAGCATATTTCTCTGGTCTGAACAGTAACAAGCATAACCCAAGGTTTTCGTTCAACACAGTGCTATATATAAATGATTATATTATTCTTCTCTTGAAATGTTGTTGCAAAAGTAGGAAAAGTTTAAGGGCCACACAGTAAAGGAGACAGAGAAGGAGAAGGGTAATTGTTTAACAAAAATGTATCTTTTTATTAGTTATTCAGGTATAAACATTTATTGTGATTTTTGTTTTCACAGATAATGGATTAAGTGAACTAGTAAACATCTTGTCTTTCACAGGGTCCCCAGTGTCACTGCCAGACAGGTTGGACAGGACAACACTGTGACCAGCCAATAACAGGAGGCCTTACTGGAACGGATGTTGTCACCACAGCAACTGGTGTCAACCCGTGTGAAGGCAACAAGTGAGTGCAGTTTGTTCAGATGTTGTATAAATCACACACCTTACTTTGAAATGTGTCCTCTTTCTAAACATTGTTCCTTATTAAATTCATTTATAATTTAAATTTTAATGTAATAAAAAAAGATGATAATCAATTTTGATTTGTCCTTTGTGTTGAGTCCATTCTCTTAATCTCCCCCTGCTTTCATTCTGTTTCAATCCAGGTGTGTGAAGGGTGTGTGTGTGGCACTGGACGCTAAGACGTACCGCTGCGACTGTGAGGAGGGATATCGCGGTGCGTTGTGTAACCTGCAGGGGGAGTCAGCTGGTTCGTGCCAGGGTCTACATTGTTTGCATGGCCAGTGTCAGAAGACAGAGGATGGAGAGCATTGCGTCTGTGAGCAGGGATACACCGGAGAGAGCTGTGATATAGGTGAGGAAGGACGAGGGATAAGGGTGGGACCAGCTTTTATTCTCAATTGCAAACTAATGACCATGTGACATAAATGTTTTTAGAGATGCTCAATGTCAGATTAGGTGATGGTGGTGCTTTAAACATGTTACACTACATGTTAAACCCCCACCAATTGTTGCTTGAGGCCTTTCAGAATCAGCATGAAGCGTAAAGGTGATCTGGCATCCAAATCCATCCATGCAGTCCATCACTATATAAGCAAAGATAACCAAATTTCATTTTGAACCAAAAAACTCACCATTGCTTATTAAAACAACAAAAAACTAAGTTTTTTTAATGTTTCTTTAGTAAAATATAGCCTGTTTCATAGTGAAAACCCCCTCGTATGAGTAATGTTTGTTGTACGCAACATCAAAACATCATAAGCAGGCCATGTCTGGAGACAGAGAGAGAGAGCATTCATTGACATGAGTAAAGCAGATTTGTGGAGGGCCTTTCTGTGGGCAGGCCTGATTCTGAATAATCCACAGACCTCAGTGTCATTTTTAAGAACTGTTGGCTTTGGTAAAATGTAGTTCCAATGAAAGTTTTAAAGTCCAATTGTCTTGTTTTTTGTTTGGTTGAGGTTGGTCCAGGTCTGGTTATCTCTTAATCCTCCCTGTGTGTCCCCATCCACAGAGTCCCCGTGTCGAGGTGAGCCGGTGAGAGATTACCACCGGCTGCAGCACGGGTCCGTCCTCTGCCAGACATCCAAGCCTTTCTCCTGGGTTGAATGTCAGGGTCGGTGCCAGGCGGGAACCGAGCCGACTGCCACCGTCGCTTCCTGCTGCGCTCCTCTGAGGGTACGACGTCGGCGTCTCACCTTCGAATGCGACGATGGAACCTCATTTACGCAGGACGTGGAGAAGCCTGTGGAATGTGGCTGCAAGGAGTGTGTGTAGTACTGTGGAAGTAATGGTGCGCACATACACACATGCAGACACACACACGTCCAAGCACAACACACACACACACACACACACACACCAAGGTAAAGAGGTTCACACACTGTAGGGATTCTGTCACTGATAAATGGATATTTTTGTGTTTGTTTTGTGTGTTTTTGCGCACAGACGCCGTTTTGTAACATAAGACAGTTCTTCCCTCTTTAAACATGAAATCAACGAGTCAACCTCATCGTCATCTTCCTCCTCTCCACCTGCTCCAGGCAGGAGAACCTGTGTGCTAACTACCTAACTCCAGCTCATTTTAATACCCGTGTGTTAAAAAGCCTCTGTATGCCTTCTTAAATGCGTTTCTGATGTGTTGCTAGTTGAGTGCTGCGCTTCATTCCCCCCCAAAGCTGCGACGGTGAGCGACGACTGTTGCGAGAAATAAAGGTACTAATTTAAGCTGGGGACTCGTTTATGAAATAAAGATTTGTCAATCAAATTTCACGTGTTAAATATCAGCAATGTCAGACTTTGTGTGCAGGTATTTCTGAACAGCAGCACTGAGGTCTGTCAGTTTGATGAAGGAGCCAATTGGTGAAATAAAAATTTTTAATTGTTTGCTGCAGACATGACTGCTGTTTCTCTGTTAGGCTGCCACACTGATGAGGGTTTAAGCACCAAATGTTCAGTTTGTTCTTTAAGGTGTGATTGAAGTAGTTCAGAAGAGGTACAGCAGACTATGTGCTGATCTTACAATAACCATGGACGTTAAATCCTCAACCTGTCATCGGCCTCACAACATTGTGTGAAATGAGCATAAACTCGAGAAGCAAAATAACGTGCAGATTAGAGATATTTTGAACATTCTTCTGTCCAAATCTTCCTCTTACAACACATCCCCTCTAATTCCTTAATGGAGCTACAGAAAACACTGGAAGCTATAATATCATTGACAACCCAACAACTCAATGAATGCAGGCTATAACAAGTAGGGACATTTTTTTAAAGAGTGTAAATGCGCTCCGGTCTGTTTCATCAGGAGATAGTTTATGTATTCTTGAGTTTGAGTTTACTTATTACTTACTGAGGAATTGATGTCACGCTCAATGTAACAGCAGCATAACAAATGACATATTTTGTAAATAAAATTTAGACAATAAGTTCATGAAGGTTGTTGTTTTAGGGTTATGTCCATTTTAAATTAAGAAACACTTGAATTGCAAATGAAACCTTTGCTCACAGTAGAAATCTTTAAACTGTCATTTTAAAACCCAAGTCATTGAGTTTTAAGGCATAATCCGAATGTAAATACAAAGGTCAACCCACCACCATGCACAGCCTGAAGGTCAAAGGGTTCATTGGGGACAGCAGAGGGGTCATGACACGTTCATGACACGGGGGGGGGGTGCTTCTTGTACTTGTATATTTGTGAGGACCTGTTTTTATACACCATAAGGATATTTCGTCAGTTTCTCAGTCTGGGACGCATATGTAACTTTGCTTTGCTTTATGTACAATGTGATAGGAACTATCTATTAAAAGTGTGAGGAATTAATTGCCAGACTCAAGGTGTTTTGAATTATATACAGCGTTAATCGCTGATTGTGATTGTGATGTCAATTTTAAGTTAGTTTGAAATGTATATGTCACAGGTGCTTAAGTTACAAACAGGCTTCTTAAAACCTGCGTGAGTATAAAGTATAAATATAATTACATTTTTATAAATGAGGCTCCAGATTTTAAAGGCTGCCACATAGCAGCTGAGAGGATCTGTGGGTTAATTATCTATGGTTTTGTCACTGTTAGCGACAGCTTTAATTTTACACATCAATGTTTGGTCCAATGTTGATATTAGAGTCAGCTGGGTTGTATTTCCCAATGTAAGTTGTGGACATAGGTATCAATATAGAAACAAAGGTATCATATTAAGACTTACCCTAAACCCTAAAATTTCAAATAATACAGCCCCAGGAAAGGGTTGGGATTAGCCATGTAGCTGTGATGGTTAGGGGATAAGGAACACATTATTTGAATCAGGGTCCTCACAAGTATAGATGTGCAGTTTTGAGTGTGTGTGTGTGTTTGTCAATGTAAGACGCTTCCAACAACAAGACGCTGTCCCTGATAATGAGCTTCATTATACGATGATGCAGTGTGTACGTTTGGATCAAACGCATCCTCTCCAATTTGTCAAAAGAGCCAGTGAATGCATCATAGAAATGCCACACAGAAAATGCAGCTTTTATATATGATGACATGTTTATTTATATGGATGTGAAACTAAAATAAAGGTGCGTAATATTCATTTTTAACATGTTTATATTTGTTTTAGTCTTTGAGTTAAATTTTCCGTAAAAGCCGAATCGTGTCATAAATCAGATTCAAACTAATGTAGCTGTTATTATTATTATTATAACTGCAATACATCTACACACAGTAACAGCTTAACAGATTGTAATATATATTATAAGCTTATAATACATTTGATTTTGTCATAGTATTTTTATATGTTGAAGAGGATGTTGTCACTGTTTCATCTGTAGTTTGTAGAGAAATCTTTGTTTTGAGTTGCCAAAAAATTTCTCCATCCCAACCCCGCATCATTGGTGGGGGTAAAAAAGAAGACGAAAAAAATGAGATAGTGTTTTGATTCATGTTGTCTCAACTGAAAATAGACAACAAGTAGTGCTTCTTTTTCCTATTTATTTAAATAAAGAGCTGTTTCTCCTTCATTGTTTTTCTTCTTTCTTCTTCAACCTTGACACTGGCTCTGATTTTCTTGTTGTTGTTGCTCTGACCTTTGACCTCATTGTGTCACGGCTGTCTGGCGTCCAGGCCGAGTCGATGGGCGATGGCAGCTCATGAAGGCAGAGAAGAAGAGAGGGAGAGAGAAGGGGAGAGTGGTTAAAAGAAAGAGAGAGATGGTGGGGGTTGGAAGGGAGACTTAAAAGGGAGTGGTAGATGGAGTGATGGAGGAGGACTTGAGGCTGGTTTTGAGAAGGTAGTGGGAGACCGTGAGAACAGAGGAAGATGGAGGGCAAAGTAAGGAAGGATGGATGGAGAGGAAAGAGAGAAAGGAGGGAGTCCTGCTGTGAGGGGGGGCAGTGCTCGGAGACTGAAGCCGTTTAATGAAACTGTGATTTATGCGTCCCCTCGTAACCATAAAACATAATATATACCCCCATGGGCGATGGAGGAGTCCCTCCTCCCCCAACACACACACACACACACACACACACACAGGAACACACACTCTTCCAGTCTACTCTCCAGTGAAAGCTACTGCATCTCTCCACCCCCTCCCCACCTGCACCTCTGCAACCCATCCAGCCGGCCTCCCAGCCCCCGTTCAACCTTTCTACACCACCATCTTTACCCCTTCCCCCACTCCTCTCCTCTGTCTCTCTCTGTCTTTCAGGGAGGATAAAATCATGGCAGCAGCACCTTCCCAACCCCCCAATTCCAATAAAGCCTCCACGTCTTCCTACACTGACAATCTGCTACACACAAAGGACAAAAACATACACACACATGCTGCAATAAAAAAAAAATTGGCAGACTTATTGTCAGCTGCAGGAACAGAAACGATTGATCATACACAGAATAAGTGAGGTGTTTGTCTCCAAACTGGATAAATATAAACAATACATCCAATTTGGCAGCCAGTGTCTGCGCAAAATATAGACAATTTATTCAGTGGCAATGTTATTCTTTGAGAGAGTAATTTATTCTGGGCAAATTTAGAAGAAAAGAGGAAATGTATTTAATCTCTGAGGGGAAATTGATTCATTAACTCAGAAGAAGAAAACAAATAGAGGAATATCTGACACTAATAAATTGGCTCTTTATTGTTTGCAGAGTTCCTGACAAACTGAAAGAATTACACATGAATAAAAATGACATAATGCATTAACATAGCACATATTTATGCAGACACTTCTGCACATTTTTTTGCATGGCTGCTGGTTTAGAGAGCAAAGCAAAGGGACCACAGTGCCTAAAAGCTTCAGAATGTCACACATACTGTATTAATATAATAACTTTATGTAGCACCACAGTACAAAGTGCCTTACAATAAAAAAAACGTATAGCAAAAGCAAATAAGATATAAACATTATCAAATATTTTATATAGAACAAATACCATCACTTATGAAAAGGCCATACAATAAAAGTCTAACCCCCTAACCCAGGAAGGGAGTTCCACATGTGAGGTTCACAGCAACAACCTGATCGCCTTTATTGAGAGGTCAAGAATTTGGAACAATCACTAGCACCCTGCCAGAAGATCTCAAACAGCGATCAGGCTCAGGGAATTAGAACAGATATAGGCAGGAGCCAGACCATTCGTGGCTTATTTTACCAGACTATTCGAGGGCAGTAATAATTGGTATAATGTGGTCGCTTCTTTTAGTACATGTTAAAAGCCTGCCAGCAGCATTTTGTCTCAACTGCAGAGTTTAGCCTCCTGATACCGGAATAAAGTGCATTGCAATAGTTAAGCCTGGAAGAGATAAAAGCTTTCTACGTCTGCACACTGAATGACCTGATCTTGGTTAGGTGTCCTAGTTGAGCAAAGCAGGACTGCACCCCTTAAATCACCTGAGCATCAAAGGACAATTGTTAATCAAAAATAACACCTAGGTTGGGGGCCTCTTTTCAAACCTCATCTTAGATTAGCCAGACAGATTTTATTTATAGATATAATACAGGATGCATCCATGACAGGCTATCAGGACATATAATGAAATAAATAAATTAAAGGAAATGGAAATCAACGTCAAATCTACACATGATTTGCACCAAGCGTATCATGTATATGGTAAACAAGAGGGGACCCAAAATAGATCCTTGGGTTACATCCTCTCCATTACCAGTGTTAATGGGATAAGAATGTGTACAGACGGAGAGAATGAGAGAGAAGCTCAGTGCATCATGGGAAGTGTCCAAGAAGTCTAGGCCTATAGCAGAATAAAAGGTTCAGGGCTCACCTGAGTCAGCCTCGTTCCACGTGAATATCCTGAATGTGATCAAAGTTTAATAGAGTCTGAGCCTTATTAATAACAATAACACTTTACAAAGTTACAAAGTCTTTACATGGCTGTACCAGGATGAGGACATTTCTTCGGAAAATTAAATTAATACAAAAATAAAACTGAATAAAATACCCAACATTAAAATAATATAACACATCACAATGTACCTGTGGGTGGGGTAGGAAGCAGAACAGTTTCCAGTGTATTTAATGAAGAAAACACCTCTGACTGACATGCTGTCAGTGTATCAATAACATATCACTACTGAACATATTGA